ATGTATTTGTTAAAAGTTAAGTCAGAGTACAAGAGAAAGCCCAGTGCTTGCTTGGCACTAAGGAAAAGATTCTGGTTAGGTTACCCAGGGATAATTTAATTCTTCCCATAGATCATAAAAATTTCATTGCTCATAAATTGAGGCTGGAGCTGCCTGAGCACAAGCGATGTGCAATAATCTTTTGGCTGTGGTTTTCATCTGTCTTGGCCACAGTTGGTTCAGCTGTAGGCCTGAGGCTGCCCGGACCCACATAGTCAGGGGAGCACGCAGAGCCTGCCCAGCCTTTGTGCCGCAGGGCACACCTGGCCTAGCAGAGACCACAGCGGCCGTTTCCTGGAAGTTCTCCCTGAGTCATGAGTCCTGTGTGCTGTGTGGGTTATGCCGAGGGCAGATGGGCTAATGTCCAGGAGTATGGAAGCTGTATTAGTAAAGCCATGACAGATACTCTGTTTATGTTTGTCTAAGAATTTCTTTTAAGAAAACCCCAGCTTTATTGAAACATATTTTACATATGGTAAAAATCACCATATGTAGGTGATTTCTAGTAACTTTACTAAGTGGTTCGACCATCCCCTTAAAGCAGTTTTAGGACGTTTTCTCCCCTGCTAAGGCCCCTTGTATGCTCTTACAGTTAATCCCAGCTCCCCCAGCTCCAGGCAATCACTGATCTACTTTTCTGTCTCTATTGTAATAATTTATTTTCTGATTAGAAAAGTAATAGTTTCCTAGTTTGGATAATTTGAATAACCCCAAAGAGAGAAACTGACTTTGAATGAAGCCAGAGCCCCCTCGGTTGACCTGGTGCCCAAGCCCCTCTTTCTAGCTACTGCCTCCCGCATCAGCACCGTGGCCCTCCCTCCATGCTGTTCCTTTGCCCAGGCTACCCCCACCCCCATCTCGCAAGACAGACGCCCTCTGTCTTTTGAAGGTGGGTCTCACACCCCATGTCCAACACGATTTCCCTCATGTCCAGGCAAAAAGTCATTTTCTCTTGCCTGTAAATTCCATGGTGTTTTCCTCATGGCTCTCAGAATTTTCACTTGGTAGTTTACTTAAATATGGGATATGTCTCCCCTGTTGAACCCAAGGGGAGAGGCTCTCCGAGGACCGAGGTCCTCTCTGCTCTGTCTTTGTCTCCTAACTCCTCTGAATCTCCAGCTTCCTTTCCTGCCGCTACCTGAGGGCTATGTGCACCTCCTTTGTAGCATTCATCACAGTTGTAATTGGCTGTTGAATGCTGTGTCCACCACTAGACTGTGGGTCCTGTCCCCAGTGTCCAGCACACAATGTCACACTCACTGCTGAAACTAATGAAGGATGAAAGTGAGCTGGCCAACTGTGCTTAGATATCCATAGATTGTTCACTCTTCTCTACTTGAATATTTCGCAGTAGGTACCAAAGCTTAGTTTACCCCTTCTTACCCTAATATCTGTTATCAGTACCTAAGCTCTTATTTGGATTAAATTTAAAACAGACTCAGAAACCAAATTGTGATGATGTTCTTCCCTGCTGCAGAGAATCTTGTTTTTCCCACTGACTCATGCCTACATTCATACTTACGCACCCCCTTCCCTGAAAAACCTACTAGGATTCTTCCTAGAAATAGGATTCTTAACTTGTGAGCACCTAACTCTTTTTCCCCCCAACTCACCTGTAACTGGATGGTTCTGGTGTCTTCGGCTCAGCCTGAGCAGCTCTGCTCCTCCCCTCTGTGCTATGTTTGCCGGCCTCTTTCTTGCATGTTCCTTGTCCCAGACGGCACAGCACTGGCCCCCAGCCAGGTAGTGCTCAGGACCGAATCAACCTGTGCTAGTGACTGTGAGCGTGGCTTTGTGTGATCATGTAGATGAACGGGCAGCATCTCAAAGGTCAGTAACTGGTACGGTTACCGTTCTTCCTAGGCCCTGATGGACTACTTAAAACCAAAGTCACACTGTTTCATCACCCTTCATCAATGAGGAGCCACTGGTATCTGTACAGTGTGAAATACACTACTGTGGGTGTGTCTTAAGAGCTTTTATTCTTGGTGTGTATGTATTAATTCTTCCTGTGAAAGGGCAGGCATTTCATTCGTCTTTGTAGCCAGCTGTTGCTGTCTGCAAAATAGCTACTCAGTAGATACACCTGAATGAATGAATTCACTTGTGCATTTGGTGCGTGATGTCTGGTTTAAAGGTGTTAATAGAACTAAGATTGTACCTAAGCCCCTGTAGATTCTGTCCCATATGTATTATATACTCAGAAAAGTATTTAAGGATATTGGTTCAGCCCACCAATGTTACTCATCTACTCTGGGCCTAGCCCTGTACAAAGAACAGTAGGGAACATAGAATGTAATTCAGGCAGATGTTGCCTTTTAGAACTTACGGTGTGAGATCGATAAGATGATTACATGAGAGGGGCTGCCAAGTGCCTTAAGAAATGTGGAAAAAGGGGATGTGAGGGCGATCTGGCCGTGACATCTGCCACGCCATTGATCGCCTGGGTTGATTAGGCTGATCTGGCTGGCTAGGCGGGTGTCCCCTTCCTCCCTCACCGCTCCCTGTGCGTCCCTCCCAAAGCTGCATTCTTGGTGGAAGAGGAGGACCTTCCCCAGTAGAGGAGGACCGTTCTTCGATCAAGGGTATACAAGTAGCTGCGCTCCCCTGCTAGAACCTCCAAACATGCTCTAAAGAAATATAGAAAGAGGAAAATACTGGAGGAGTTTGGGGAGGGAGGGGGCCCCTTTCTGCTGTGGAGATTGGGGAAGCTTAATGGAGAAGGTGGCCTTTTAGTAACTCCCACTGGAGGGGAAGGCTGTGAGCAGTAGGAACAAGAGATGATGTTTCAGTTGGATGGAAGAACAAGCATAGAGTCAGGGAAGCAGAGAACAGCAAAGTTGGCCGAATATGAAGATGAAGAGTGGCAAATGAGGATGGCTTGGGGGGGTCTAAATGCAGGACCAGGAAGTGTAGTCTTTATTAGAGACATGATCCCAGATAAGTCTGGCGGGACTGTGAAGGAGGGATTGGGGCAGGCAGATGGTGGCAGGGGAAACCGTTGCCTTAGTCCAGAGAAGGGGCACAAGGCCCAGGGAGGCAGTGGACACGAGAATGGCACGGAGGGACGCTGGTGGAAGGACAGGCCATCATAGAGTCAACTCTCGGCAGCTGGTTGAGTAGGCACAGCACGGCCAGGTCACGGAGTCCAAGATGACTCCGAGGCGTCGCAGGAGGGAGGGTTTTAGAGTAATGAAGAGCTGCAGGAAGCAGGGCCAGTGTGGCAGAGCCCGCTCAGCACTGGAGGAGGGAAGTGTGCACTGAGAGGCGGGACTGTGGCGACACCTGCGCTCCTCACTCCTATTTCGTCCTGCGTGGGTGACAGTGGGAACCCAGGTGTGCTCGTTCTTGTAAATTATTCATCAGCCACTGATCCTCCCTGTTTATAAGACCTTGCCTTAAACTGAGCTTTTCAGTATTTCAGAGTTGAACTCCTAAGACTGATCGTGGCACGTCCTAGCTGATTACACTGTACCTTGGAGGAATGCCAGGTACAGGAGAAGTGTTGAGTTGTTTAATCCTAGAGGGAAGTTACCCAAAACAGTCCTTTCTCAAGTGACAGTTGTGTATCAGTCATGTACTTGGCAGAACTGGTCGATGCGGGCATTATTACATATCTTACCAATATTTCTCACGGGAATTTCTGTCTCCATTTAAAAATTTAGTATGCTGAATAGCATATGGAAATCAGATCCCATATTGCCTTTAAAGTGGTGCCATATTTTATGTTCTTATTTAAGGTAATTATACTAAAAATAAACTTTTTCCTTGCTGAATTATAAGAATGAAGGTGCAAGGTCCCAGAGTCCTTCCTCTTGTCTGTCTGCTTCCATAGGCCTGTAATCTAGGCGCGGGCAGTGCAGGGTGGCATGGAAGCCACAGGGCCGCAGCCGTGAGAACTGGCAGTTGTGTTGATTTGAGGGTCTGAGCCCAGGGAGGTTTGAAAGTAGGTCTTGAGCTCCTTTTCCACCTGCAGAGGGAATCTTGTGTGCTTCAGTGGCTGAGTCTGTGAAGGCCCTTCCTGCCCAAAGCTTTGCACTGTGACTCACGCTGGACCTGCCAGTGCAGCCTTGCTGGCCCTGAGTGGGCCTGTTTGCCAGGAGGCGTCCACTCTGTCCGGCAGCCAAAGTCGCCAGTCTCTTACTTCAGGGAGAACAAGAGGCACTTGGGCTCTTGCCCTCCTCTTGCCGTTTATCTGCTTTCCCCAGCAACACCCCCGACGCACACACCGTCTCACACACACACTGTCTCACACACACACTGTCTCACACACGCGTGCCCTCGCCCAGGTACCCTCACCCTCTCACATGCACACCCTCACTCGTACACGCGCCCTCACATACGCATACCCTGGCCTTCTCACACACACACCGTCGTTCTTACACATACACACTCACTCACATACTCACACCCTCGTACTCAAGCACACAGTCACTCACCCATGACACACTCACACTCATTTCTTTCCTCATGGCGCTCAGCGTTGGCTCATACGGCTTCACAGCAGACAGACGACTCCCCCTGTGTCCCTGTGTCAGGAGCTTGCCACAGAGACTGGGTCTGGGAGCCCAGAGCACAGGCCGGCGTGCATGGGCGGGGCAGTGAGTGAGAGCTGGGAGTGGGTGTTTCCGTTTATTCTAAGCTCCTGAAAGTGGTTCTGTCATTGATTATTTTGAAATATTTTTCTTCATTGTAATGACTGTCTTCTCACAAACTTCATAGCTTAACAATATAAGATTATTATCGTGAAAAATACACAGACCTAGCCTTTTCGTTAGTTATATATTCATTTGTAAGATCAAATCATTACAAAGAATTTAAGGCCGAATAAGGCAATCATACCTGCACCAGCCAGGTTTTAAGTGGAGGTTAATTATTAATATTACCTGATGTTCTCTCTAACGTCCTTGCTGTCCTTCCTTAAGTTGAATAAGAATGTTCTCTTTGTTTTTGTTTTTTAGATTCAGAATATGAACAACATAATCTCCTTCCCTTTGGACAGTTTGCTGAAGGGGGACCTGAAAGGAGTGAAAGGGGTATGGCGCGGAACCGTGACATCGGGGCAGGTTTTACATCCTGTGGGGCCACCGTAACCTGGCCTGTTGGGGCAGCAGCCACGCTAGTGCATTCTTACCGGGACGGCGTGGCTTTTTGTTACCTCCGCTGCGTTGATTTGCTGCCTTGGGACCACCTTTCTGCAGAACAGCAGTGACCCCTGGCCTTTTTGGCCATCCTGTTGGCACCACAGACTTGATGAGGGAAGAAGAGTGGGAAGGGAGAGAAATCGCTGTTTTGGAAACTATAAACCGTTTTGGTCTCTCTTAGTTGAGTAGGGAAACCTGCGAGAGAAATTCTGTTTTTCTAGTTGGTGCGCTGTGGATTTACCACGAGGAAGGGATCCTAGCAAGGATGTAGTTTCCTGATGGGAAAAATCACATTCGTAAGGTGTAAGCCAACTTCATTTTTCTGTCCTCCAGAGAATGTTGGCTGTGTAGGACGTGCCTTGCCACTTATAAACAGTGAGGCTGTGAACTGTTTCAGGAGGATGCGAGTGAGTAGCAGTCAGGGCTGGAGGGTGTTTGGGCGTGAGATGCTTTGCTTTTGCGCATCTTGGCCCTGACAGATGTGTGCTGTGAAAGGGAGATGACTGTGGCTGCGTTCTTGGGAGACTTGAGTTCTTTGATTGGATCTGTACGTGATGCCTGGGTCTCATCTGGCACAACTGGAAGCCTAGTCTGGCCCATGTCGGGGACCTCTGCAGAGGCCACTCAGTGTCTCCTACACAGAGTGTGCCAAGAGAGAGCCATTAGGACACCGAGGGACATACCCTACTGTCCCTTTGGGGGCCCAGAGAACAGGCAGTTGAGTTATCCCAAGAAATGGGTGGCAGGGGCACCCTAGGCAGAGAACAGACACAGGCACATAACGGAAGCAGGAATCCACAAGGTATGTCAGGGGCCCGTTCAGGGAGGACCTTGTATGCTAGGCTGTGGCCCTCAGGCCTTACTGTAAGGCCATCGAAGAGCCAAGAAATAAAAAGTAAACAAAAGAAGAGGTTTCTCTCTTCCAAAAGAATCCTGTTGAAGGGAGCATAAATAGGGAGAACAATTTGAGAGAATTTCTAGTGGCTCAGTAATTTTTTGAGCCGGGCTTTATCAGAGAGTATGAAGTCCTGAGTTCCAGATCTCTCTGAGTGCTAGTTGGAGACCCCAGGACAATGTGGGGGACCTTTAATGTTCTTATTATTGGGCTCAAAGCATATGTTGAGATTCATGTATTAATAAAAGTCAGAGTCCCTTTCTTTTAGAGAGATATACTGAAATAATTGCAGATTAAATGTTACCTTTTAGGATTTGATTTCAGAATAAACCTAGGGCAAAGAGTAAGGTACAGGTGACACGGGGTGGGCAGGAGTGTTGTAAATGGGCAGTGGCACATTGTATGAGTCTCTGTGCTTTTGTGAGCATTTGGTTTACTCTAAATAAGTATTTTAAAAAGAAAGAGGAAAAAAAAAAGGAATTGCCCCCACCAGTCTACTTAAAAGTGTGTACTCTAGGTTCTTTATTTTTCATGGGCTTAAACACATCATTTATTGCAGAAATTTATGCTCCTTTCAGGACTAGTCTAGGGATAAGTTTATCTTGCACAGAAGTTAATAATTAGTCCTGCTTTAATTTATTACTCTTTTTACAGGATCTGAAAAAGCCTTTTGATAAAGCTTGGAAGGACTATGAAACAAAAATGTGAGTGTTCTCATTTTTAAAAATATGCATAGGTAACTTGAGATTTCAATTTTAAATTGTTTTTATTGCTTAAAAGGATTGTCTAAATAAACCTTAATCCAGGAAAGAATTTACCTAAAACCATGTTGCTGTGGATTGTTATGATAACAGATGCTTCCATACTTGGTGTCTACATTCAGTGATCCTTGCTTCTTTGAACAAGTTTTCCCTTGTCCCTTTTTCTATAATGTCATGAGGGTTATAGAATGTTATTTTCAGGAAAGTTCACTGAGGGGAATTAAGGCCAGTTTCTCTCAGGAAGTGTTTGTTTCCTTTTTTTAAAGTAATTTTTATTGTTTTATTTTTTGAGACAGGGTCTCACTCTGTTGCCCAGGCAGGGGTGTAGTGGCACAATCATAGCTCACTACAGCCTGGCACTCTTGGGCTCAAGCAATCCTCTTACCTCAGCTGGGACTATAAGTTCACACCACCATGCGAGGGTAATTTTTTTTTTATTTTTTGTAGAGACGGGGTCTTGCTATGTTGCCCAGGCTGGTGTTCAACTCCTGGCCTCAAGTGACCTCCCGCCTCGGCCTCCCAAAGTGCTGGGATTGCAGGCGTGAGCCACCACACCCAGCCTCATTTTTGTTTTTAAACACTTTCTCCATTGTATTACCGTTTATGACAGTGATGCTGTTTTTAGACTTCAACTTCCTGGTGTTTTGTGAAAACTACATGCTCTTAGCTTTGTGTCTTTATTTCTCTGAGATACTGATCCCCTCAGTTTTATAGGAAGAGAAGTTGTTCAGCAGCCATCTCCTTCAGCTTTATTTGCTTGTTTCATCCACCAGTAACGAATGTGAGAAATGGACTAATTGATTCTTAGATGCGCATCCCAATTTCCACTAAAGACAGGACTACCACTGGTTGACTTTAGGCAGTTGTTGTAACATTTCCAGTCAGTTTCTCATTCCTAGAGTGGAAAGAGTCAAGCTGGGCAGAACTGAGCTAGCAATTGTTGGGAATAATGGTTTCAATTTTTTTAAATACTGGAGAAATGGGAAAAAAAATTATAGTGCCTTGTATTTACCTTATAATCTCTGTGCCTTAAGCAATATGGAGTTTTCTGAATGGAAACAAACTTTATATGAAGCTATCTGACAAAGTGAGAAGTTAAGAAGAAAGCCATTTCAGTTGTAACTACCAGTATTTAAGTGAGTTTCTTGTTGGTTTTTTAAACCAGCCTTGGGTAACTTTTCAGTGGTGAAGAATTACAAAGCTCAAACCAGCGAACACCAAACCTCTGATACTTACTCAATCCTTGGAAATCTTAAATTTCATACCGGAAGTTGCTTGGACCCCAAGTTCTGGAATTTCGTTGGGAAGCACAGGTGGAGTGTCAGGCTCCAGTGCCTTGGAGATCTGTGCAGCCTGGAGAGGCTCCAGCCTCTTGTCCCTGGCCTGTTGGCATCTGTGTTCCAGTTGCCACTTCAGTGAAATAAATGGGAAGGATCAGCATATTCCTCCTTTACAGACAGGAAACCAAGACTCAGTGGTTTGCTGCTGGTCAAACAGTAGGAGAGTGATTGAGCCAGGCCAGGAAACGGGTTTCCTGATGTCCATTCGTCTGCACTCTCTGCCCGCTCCGTGCCACAGAGGTGGTGCTTCTGTGCCTGCCTGGACCAAGGGCAGAAAGGGGTTTCTGAAGAAGAGTGCCTGAGAGAGTCCTCTGGTTCTGAAAGGAAAGGGTTTGAAAGAAGGAGAATGTCAAATTCTGTAATGTCAAAACACACGTAGATAGGTTGGGGACAGAATTACTCATGAAATCCCAGACTTTAGGAGGAGGGAGCAGCAACCTTTAAAAATTGAAGTAATTCTAGGGTAAATAAGGGAAGTAATTTTTACCTGTCAGTGTGGGAGATTCATTTGTCCCAAGAGGCCTTGTGATATGTGACAACTAGATTTAGAGGTCCTTAAAATTCCTGGGCAGTTAGTCCCATACCTGATCATTAAAAGAAGTGACCAACATCTACACCATGTCCTGCCGCCTTTGCAGTGACATTGGGGAGCCTTGGAGCTGTGTAATTCTAGTCCCCGGGACCTCGTGGGCCCTCCAGTCACACTCCTTCCTGGATGCATGACCGTGTTCAACAACATCCCTTCCAGGTGGTCTTCTGTTTGCATTCTTACTCCTCCAGATTGTTACGCAGCTACTGTGTGCTCCAGGCTAAAGAAACAGAGAAATTATACTTCTTGCCTCTTATTAGATACTTCAGCCCCCGGCCCCCAGTGATGGGGAACTCTCTGGAACCCATGTCATCATTGGACAACTCTTCAAGAACATGCTGTGTCTTCTAGTGTCTACCTTGAGGCCCTACAGAAAGTGCCTCTTCCCCTGTCTTCATGGCAGTCCTTTGTGTTTTTTTGAGTACTTTCTGTTCATTTTGTTTAGTCTCCTTTTCTGCAGAATAAACATTCACGTTATTTCAAGCCCCTCTTAGCGTATGTGATTTTGTGGCTCCTTTTTACCCTGGTTGCCCCTGTCTGGCTCTGCTCCAGCAGGTTAGTTTATACCCTGAACTGCTCACATGACCTTTGAGTAATATCGCTCAGGCATGCGATAAACATGGGAAGGGGAATGAAGCTAAAAGCATGAAAAGGTGGCTTGTTTTCTTCTCCAGTGATGAGCACTCTCATAAGTCAGGGCAGAAGAACGAGAACGGGCGTGGCCTCAGTAGGTGAGGAGAGGGAGGAGGTGAAGACAGAGGGGAACGGGAGGTAGGGAAGTTCCCGTGGGGCCGCTCAGAGGGCAGACAAGCTCCCAGTGCTGTTGCCAAAGGAAACCTCCAAGGCGTGTACAGACTTTCCACCCGCTCTGACCCAGAGCTGGCTCAAAGTAGGTGCCTAGGACGTATTTGTTCAATAAGTAGGGGGAAGGCCAACTTTGCATTTTTGTGACGGCACTCATTTCCCTCCGGTCCTGAAATGTGTGCTGAGCACTGGTCTCAGCAGGCTGGGCATGGGGTGGCCTCGGCCGTCCAGTTTGGAGTGCCATGCCGAGAGGCATCTTGACTTACCCTTTCTTCTTTCACACGTAGAACAAAAATAGAAAAGGAGAAAAAGGAACATGCCAAGCTCCATGGGATGATTCGTACTGAAATAAGTGGGGCTGAAATTGCCGAAGAGATGGAAAAGGAGAGGCGGTTCTTCCAGCTGCAGATGTGCGAGGTAAGACACTGGGAAGTGGCAGTCCCCACCTGCCGAGGCTGGCGAGGTCCACCCCCACCCACGTGGGGACTCACCCTGGGAGCGAGCCACTGCTCGGAGACCATCTGTCTCTGACTCGTATCAGTGGCTTCAGAGAAAACACCAAATGTATTATCCGACTCCATTTGTCCCTGCGCTGACATTTTCTTTTACTAGGGGAGTCTTAGTCTCCTAATTCTCCTGGAATTGGGTTACTCTAACACCAACCTTTTATTAAAAGTAGAGAACAATTTAAAGAATGTTCTTTCTGTCCTCACACATACAGTCTCTCAAACTCACTTCCCCTACCTGGAACTTGGCTAACATACTTACTCCTTGCTGTTTTTTAAATGAGGTGTCCAGGTTCCCCTTGTACCAATGGGAGTCAGTGACCAGGTTAAGGTTGGGGGTGAGAATTCAGCTGGAAAATAGTCCAGCTTGAGAGGTGACAGTACACGTCGTCCTCTGTGTTAGTATGTGATGCATTCTGGGAAGCCACATCACCTGTCTGGAGCACTTCCTCCCAGACTTCTGCTGAGTGTGGGGTGCTCTTCCAGCCCAGAGGCCCAGGTGCCCTGGGGAGCTCCTCTCTGCTCCACCCCATCCTGCAGCCTCAGCCCTGGCCTGGGGCAGGGGAGGACAACAGCGAGATACTCTCAGAGCATTCTCTGAGATCAGACACCATCCGTGCTGAAGGCCTTTGCTCGAAGCCTTTCTGATTTCTGTGTCTTGCTTGTAGGTGCGTGTTTACAAGTGGTGTGCAGACAGCTCTCACCTCTGCCTGAGGGTTTGCTGCTCCTGGCTGTGCCAGTGATGCCCCTCATGCCAGATGGCGTTTGTTTCTCTCTCACAGCAGTGCCAGCTTAGGTTTTAAATGTACAAAGTGCACCAGTGGTATTTGTGACGGGCATTGAAACTGGTTTCAGCAGCTCTTGATTCCCTGTAAGCAGTCAAGAACAAAGCTAATCCAGAGTTTGTTTGTTAATTGCAGCAGGAGCTGAGCCTTTATAAATATATATCTTAGAAATATATTTAAGTGAGTTTTTATTTCCAGAGCAAAGTCTTAAGTGATCAGCAGAGGAGAATCAGTCCCAGGAACGAGGGGTGGCAATTGAAAGCTTTAAGGTTTGTTTTGCCTGATGTTAGTAGAGCCACTTGTCTTAGTCTGTTTTCTGTTGCTATAATTATATACTTGAGACTGAATAATTTATAAAGGAAAGAAATTTATTTCTTACAGTTCTGGAGGCTGGGAAGTCCAGGGTTGAGGGGCTGTATCTGGTGAGGTCCTTCTTGCTGTTAGGCAGGGCAGGGCCTCACAGGGCGAGGGGCACGTGAGAGATGGCAAAACTGGCTGTTATAACAGACCCGCTCTCGTGATAACTGATGCACCCACTCCCTCCATAGTCCATTAATCCGTTAATGTATTACTCTGTCCTCTCAACGCTGCCGCATTGGAGATCACGTTTCCAACACACGAATCATACCAAACCATACCGGCACTCCAGCTTTCCTTTGGCTACTATTTGCCGGGAATATCTTTTTCCACCCTTTTACAGTCAACCTATGTGTATCTTTGAATCTACAGTAGGTCTTTTGTAGATAATGTATGTAGTTGGATCATGTTTATCTAATGTAGTTTGATAATCTCTGCCTCTTGATGGGGTTGTTTAATCCATTCACGTTTAATGTTACTATTGATCTGGTTGGATTTACTTCTGCTGTTACTTTTTTTTTTGTATGTGTGTCTTACATCTTTTTTCTTCTTCCTTTACTGCTTTGTTTTTCAGTAAGTAAATGATTAGAAAGTTAACTAAACTGAAAGGGTTATTGTAAATAGGAGAATGGATTTTTATGCACATTTTTAAAATTAACACATCGCATGTAATACTATCTTCCTCACCCACTTCATATAGTGATGGAGAAATCAGTGAGACAGTATGAGGCAGGGGTTAGAAAACTGCTGTGTATTATACAAACACAAGGTATTGTTCCGTTTATTTAAGTGCTGTAGTAGTGTTTTACAGAGAATCGGGTGAAATTAAGTAGTAGTGTTTTACAAAGAGTGAATTCTGAAAGGGTGTGTGTATGTGTTCAGGTTCTGCCCTTTTTGTCTAGTAAGGTTGAAATCTATTTACCTGAACTCTGCAAGATTGCTTAAAATGTTTACTGAATTTTGAAATTCAAGCAACATGTTGAGAGCATATACTTGACACGATGGGGGACTCATTCCCCACGTGGCTCTGTCATTGCTTTCTCGATGTGCACCTTGCACTGATCACTTCTCTCCTATGTCTAGGTGAGTGGATCGTGTGGACTGGCTAAATCGTTTATTTTGTTGGAAATACACTGTGTAGTTGATGCCCGTAAGTCACAGACTGAGCTGTCTGTTGAGGCGGTCCTCAGGTGTTGGGCCCAGTCCATACCGAGCAGGAACCAGCACGAGGCAGGCACTGATGTTTTGCAGTTTGACGAGAGCCATGCTATATGCACATGTAAAAGCAGAGGTGGGCTTGCCTAACGGTGACCTTGAGTTTGCAGAGAAGACATCTGATGAAGATGTAGAAGTTGGCCAAATAGTCATGGGCTATAGAGGAGCTTTCTGTGAGAAAGAACATTTGAAAAACAGTTACTTGAGAACCCAGCTCTGAAGTGAATTTGCTTGTCTCTGTTAAAATCATTTTTAAATGGTTTGTTTCCTCGAACTGAAGTTCTCAAGCTTTAAGTGGTTGATGTTACTCAGGTGTTTTAATTTTTAGTTGCCCAGAATCTAATCTAGAAGAGTGGCTTTCAGGCTTTTATTTTAAAGCTGTGGAACCTTTTCTTCTAAATGAACTTTATAGAGAAATTCAGTATATCAAATAGGTGATACAGACCTTCTGTGAATGGAGAAGGTGTGAAAGATTCTCTCTTGCTATTTTGTAATTATTAAAATTTTATATACTTTTTAAGAAAATTAGTCAAGGAATTTAAAAATTGCCCCAAATTTTACTTACCAAAAGATAACCATTTTGACATTTAAATATCTTTCATATATCCCTGTGTATACATTCATAAAAATAATTTATATAAATAAATCATTCTCTGCCGAGGCTTTATGTATTATTTTCCCTCTCTAGTATGTCATGGACATCTCTCCATGTCAGAAATTCTGTTTTATTGGCTTACAGGCTGCACAGTATTTTTGGATGGATACATCATACTTGATGAATGAATTCCCCATTCATTACATTTGGGATGTTGCTATTTTTCACTTTTACAAACGAGGCTGCAGTGAATCTTCTGTTCATCTTTGTAAACGCTTATGATCATCTTCTTAGAATAAATTCCTGTGAGTAGAATTTCTAGGTCAAGAGGCACACACACTTTAAATTTTGATACATTGCCAAACATTTTATTCAATTAACAACAAATAAATACCAAAAAGAAGAATGGAGAGGAGGACCTACAGACAGTTATTATAGGCAAAAGGAAATTTCGTAGCTTATAGTTTCAGAGCAGCTTCCTACCTCCTTACTGGACTGCAGACAGACCCGAGAGAGCACCTGAACTTGCCCCCGCCCCACGCTCCCAGCCGAGAGCCTGTGCATGGGTGAGCAGCTTTTTGAGGGACATTTCATCTCAGAGATGAGATGTTCTCAGGGTACTTTATACCATCTCCTGACAGTGGAGGGGATAGGGAATTACAGAGTCCTTGTTCTATAAACCTGTAGGAAAGAACAAATGTATTTCCTGATGCTGGTTTTGTAGCTCCCTGGGGCTCCCTGATGTCTTAGTGGTCATTAATGAACTCTCCAAGTTAAAAATGGTTTTAATTCATTTCAGTTTATAGTCACTTTTTTTTTTTAAATGTAGGGGAAGTGTCTCAGGATTAAAGACATGATGCCAAGGGTCTCAGCTGCAAAAGATTAGCAATTAGAATTCTAGACCTTGCTAAGGAAAGGGACCTGGGACAGAAGTGGACGGGAAGGTTCAAGATGATTAGAAATCGCATTCGTTCTCACCATTCTCCTTCTTCCCTGCTACTAGAGTGAAAATTTCTCCTAGCAGGTTAAGATAGACTGTCTTATTACTAGGAGTTCTTGGCACTTACACATGTCATTGATTACCTGACCGTCAGATAATTCGTATAGCTCCTAACTATTAATGAAAGAAACATTGAGTTATGGCATCCAGAAGATATTAAGTGTCTACCAGGAGCTCTACCATTGTAAAAGATGTCAAAGAAGTAGAAGAGACTATCTCAGTCCTCGGAAGCTTCTATTGAGCTCATATTCTGCTTATTGCTGTGACATTTCCCTTTTTTGTTTTTTAACAGTATCTGCTGAAGGTCAATGAAATCAAGATTAAAAAGGGGGTGGATTTACTTCAAAATCTGATCAAATATTTTCATGCCCAGTGCAAGTAAGTTCTTTTTCTTTGTTTTGGATGATATTTTACATGTTTCTCTGTGTACGACCACTTCTGGTAGATCTATAGCGTGGAGAAAAGTAAACACTCATTTAAAGATCTATCGTGAAAGGAATGAAGTGCTGATGACTGCCACAACGTGGGTGGACCTTGACAAGATGTTGAGCAAAGGAAGCCAGACACAAGAAGCCACATGTTGTACGATTCCATTTATTTGGAAGGTCAGGAGTAGGCGGGTCCACAGAGACAGAAAGCAGATTAGTGGTTGCCACAGCTTGGGGGAAGGAGGAAATGGGAAATGACTGCTGGTGGTCTAGGGTTTCTATGTGGGATAATGAAAATGTTCTGGAATTAGTGCTGACGATTGCATGACTTTGTGAATATACTAAAAGCTACCAAACTGTACAATTTAAAAGGCTGAATATTATGGTTTTAGAAGATTAAAAATTAACAGTATGTATACAGTATAAAATTTAAACTCTGTGGTATTGTCAAGTATATTTATTTTTGCTCTTTTTGTAGAGGGGAAAACTAGTTGATCCGTCCCATGATTCCCGGATGTTTTTTGTTTGTTAAAAGGGAAATGATATATATTAATGCGGTGTGTTAAATTAAGAAAATACTTTCATATATCACTTATCCTACGGGGCCCATTACTGAAGAATGACAGAAGGTGTTAGACGAAGAGAAACTTCCATGCTCAGGGACTGCCTCGGGTACTCACTCAGCTTTGCCGCAAGCGTCAGCCCTTCACAGCCTGGCCCTCATCTGCTGTCCTGCTTCTGCTCCCAGGCCTCTGTCCCCGATAGAAACAGGCCCCTGGCTCCTCCAGTCACTTGTCAACAAACTTGTACTGAGCACGTGCTGTTCGTTAGGCCCTGTCCTAGGTGCTGGAGATAAAGTGATGTGCCGCGGAGGCTTAGTTCCTGCTCCAAGAATCGGGAGTTGGGCTTCAGCAAACACATTTATAATTGGACATATATTAAAGTGGTATAAAGTGTGGGAATCTAAGAAAGAGTATAATACAGGGGAATTTAGGGAAAGATTTAGTGTTGGGATTTTTTTCTATTTTGTTCCCTGTTGTCTCTAACAGCCAGAACACACAGCCAAGCCAGGGCCCACAGTAGGTACTGAGGTGCTACATGAGCTGCAGGCCTCTTCGAGGACGCGGTGTTCTGCAATCTGAAGGCCGAGGAAGAGCTGGCACTTAACATTCTGGGGGAAGTGGGGAAAGAACAGTCCAGGCAGAGTCAAAGTCCTAAACCAGGAAAGATGCCAGGGTGGCTTAAGCATAGTGAGTGAAGGGAGAGTAGCATGAAATGAAACTGGATAGAAAAGAGATAGGTATGGCCTTAGATGTCTTGTTAAAGGTTTCAGATTTTATCCCAAATGTCTTGGGAAGCTCTTAAAAAGGGTTAAGCAGAAGACTCATTTGTTTAGAGCTCCTACCATGCGCCAGACACCTTAAGGTTCTGGTGATCCAAGAAAGAGGAAAACAAAGTTCTTACCCTCACGGACCTTAGTTTCTAAGGTCTTGTCTCTGGGAGACAAGTAGGTTTTAAAAAGGCAAAACAGTGTGGTGAGAGAGTGGCGGTGTTTGGACGCAGCTTCTGGAAGGCTTCTCTGCTATAACAAGGTTACGTGTTGTGGAGAAGGAACCATCTGGGACAAGAGTGGATGTGGGCAGCTAGGTATGGTGGCGCACACCTACAGTCCCAACTACTGGGGAGGCTCGGGTGGGAGGATCGCTTGAGGCCAGGAGTTTGAGACCAGGTTGGGCAACATAGTGAGGCCTCATCCTCTTAAAAAAAAATTAACTGAGTATGGTGGCATGTGCCTGTAGTCCCAGCTACTCAGGAGGCTGAGGCAGGAGGATTGCTTGAGCCCAGGAGTTTAAGGCTGCAGTGAGCTGTGATCACCCATTGCACTCCAGCCTGGGCGACAGAATGAGACCATGTCTCTTTAGAAAAGAGGATGTGAACAGTCACTTAGGTACCCAACACCTATCCCAGTGCAGTGCGGAGATGACGATGGCTTGGCTGGACTGGTAACAGTGGGAGTGGAAGGTGTGGACTGATTTAACAAATCTTTTGGACATCAAATTGACACATCTGTCTCCCCGTTTACCTCTCCCCGAGCAGGCCCAGGCCAATATACCTTGTACACATTGTTCCTTTTCCTAGAATGTCATCCTGTTTCCTCTGTGCTCTCCCCTCTTCTGCTCTTCCTAGCACCTAGCTCATATATCATTTCCACTCTGCGGTCATTCTTGTCTTCCCCAATGGAATTACTTCTCTGCCTCCTGTGTTGCCACCACACTCTGCATGTCTCCACGGTGGCATCTTCCGTGTCGTGTCTCTGTCTCCCACTGACCTACTTAAGGAAGGCACCATGTCATTTATTTATTTATTTTTCTGTCTAGTGCATGGCGTGTTAACCTGGGACATATTTACAGCAGTGAATTGCACTGTTGAATTGAACCAAGCTCTGCTTTGGCATTCTTAGCACAGCTTCGATGACATTGCATGAGCAGTTGAGGTCAGACTGCAAAGAAAGATATGCTGAGTGGTTCATCCTAGAGCTCCAAGCTTGGAGAAATGGTCTCAGAGGGTGGAAAAGACCTTGAATTTGTAGAATTGTCAAGATGAATTCTTTTACAAAGACTCAAAATTCTAACTTTGTGATTAACATGTAAATTACTTCTTCAGTTCTTATCCATATGTGAGGCAATTTAGGAAGTGGGTTGCTTCCTTGCTGATATTTTATTTTTAAGAAGAAGCTATTCTGGGATTTCCTTTTTTTTTTTTCTTTTTCTTTATTTAGCCCAAACTGATCAGTTGGGTAGCAACAGACCACTTGTGGAAAAGTGAACTACTTGGCCTTTTATGGACATGAGCTGGGTAACCTTTAAAAATATGAATCTTCCATTACATCCTTTTTGGATGAGAGTGTGCGTGTACACTGTGTGCTCTTCAAATCAGTTGAGCAGCTTTGACTTTTAATTCATATTTTGGGGATAAAACATGGCTTCTGAGTGACTCAGCTGCTGGACGAGAGGAGCTGGTAGCCATGTGTGCATTTTTACACGTGGGAGTGCTTCGTGTTCCCTCATCGAACACGCCCAGTCTCCACTTCTCACCCCAAAGCACAGTGTGTTGCCCCAGGGGTGCAGTGCCCTGGCGAGCAGAGGCTGCCTGCTCAGCCAGCGCTGCTTCTGCACACTGCTGTTCTCCGCAGGCTGGGGGCCACGGGATATAAGCCAGATCCTAGGAGCTGTATTTGGGTGCTTATCCTTAGAACTACTTAGATATGCATTATTTGGCTTTTGACTCATTTTTGTTTTTTACTTTAAGCATTCTTAAAGAATACTTTGTGTACTTTGTCTTATTTCATTTAAGGAAAGAATTGATATCTCTCCCTCGTTCCTGGATTATTCTGAAAATTGTCTTATTAGCCTTTGCTGTTGAAGGTTGAGGATCCTATTCTCTAGTGGAGTCTAGAAATAGGGCAGTCGTTAAAACAGTAATAATAACACAAACAAAGAAGGCCTTGTTCTAAAAGGTGATAATGAGTGTTGAGTTCACAAGTTCTCAGATACCTGCTGAGAACCACTGTCACCAGCTGTTGCTCGGTGAGCTGGGGGGTACACACTTGATGAGACTGGGCCCTGGGGCCCTTTAGAAGTTTGCTCTCAGGACAGGAAAGGGCAGACCGGTCAGCAGACACCAGGAGGGGACTCCGCATGGTTTGGTGGGGCCCAGGGGTGGGAGAGGCCACCCTGCGTGGTGGGACCTTGAAGAGGTGGGACCTATGCATCTAAGTGGGCATATTTTAAAGGCTTGGGAATTTGGTGAGGCAGGCTAGAAAATGTTTAATAGAAAATAAAATTTAATTTGATAATGTCGATGGTAAAATTCTTTGACTGAAGCTTGGAAAAGTGGTAATGGGCTCCACTTAAGAAAAGTTGCCAGAGACTGAAGAATGTCTTGGTGACTGCAGTCAGCAAAGCAGTGGCACTGCTCCTTGACGCACCCGCCCCCAACCCACACCAGGGCTTACTGCACTTTGAAGCTATGCCTGGGTGCCCAGACACACCTCAGCAAGGAGGGTACAGAAAGATAGGGGATTTGAAAATCAGAGGGAGAGATTTTTCAGGTGGATAGATGATTAAGATAAGCTAGGCTATTGCAAAGGTGAAATCTAAATCTAAATTCATATTGTTATTCTAAGTGCACCACCCATTGTCTTGCTGGAAACTATGTGACAAGAAGCATGTCCCTGAGCACCTGACGCCACTACAAGGTGCTCTCACCGTAGGGAGAGTTGCCAGGTTGCAACGGTTCTGGGAGCTGAACACCTGTTCCCTCTCCCCAGGGGTATTTTTGTGTTTATCTCCTGTAATATTTTTTCTACTCCTTATCTTAGTACTACCTTTCTCATGTTCTCTCTCTCTTCCTTACCTATTTCACAAGAATTCGAACTTACTAAGGAAATAGTTACATAAAGAAAAAAATGGAAATAAAAATATAAGAACCAGATGAGTTCATGACAAAAGGGAGAAGCTCAGTTTCTCATTCCTGCACTCTGCGATTGTTCGCACAAATTTCAGTTGAAAAGAAGCATCTGGTACACGCTGGCCACTGTACTGGGAGTGGATGGCACAGAGATGTGTAAGTCCTGGTGTTTCTGCCCTAACCATGGTGGTAGACTGGCTAGAGCATGATAACACTCTGACTTAATTGCTACGCCAGCTACATGTCCTACAGGGTGCCCCAAAAGCCACCCTACATGGGGAACATGGGAAATTGTAGCTAACTGTACCTTTATTCACAAAATATTCATTATAAAATTTTTCCTTTGTATGGAGACTTTTGAGATGCACTCTATATTCAGGGGGAAAAAAACAGGTAAAATACAGGAACAAGAATATAAAATAAAGAATTATGTCTGTATCTAAAGATAAGGTAAGAACATTCTAACAGCCCAGGCTCTGTGGCACCTAATAACTAGCTGGTAGTGGTACGTAAGCCACATCCTGCGTGTGAGTTTTCCCTCTCCGTCCTCAGTATTACTGTATTCCGTGCCCTGCTGGGCTGTTTGCACAGCCCCTTTGCTTTGTGACACACTTGGTATGGGGAAGTCCCACAGGGCCATTGCTGTTTTTTGTTTGTTTGTGAGACAG